TGCCATCTTACTTTTTGTTCTAATATCCAACAGAAGGTTGACATATCTGACATAGTTTGTACATGTTAGTGTGGCTAACAGATATAATTTTCTTGTAACTAAAAACATTTAAAAAATCTCTTCCTTATCCTGTCTGTATTTTTTTATGAAATTAGAGATTTGGGGGTTCACTTTGTCTTTATCTCTAGAGACCCTCTTGATTCAACTCAACCCCACATTCTGTACTCTTTGGAGTCTCTAATGTATGCAAATGAGAATTTGCCTGATGACACAAGACGCAAGTTTTGCTTGATGGTAACAGTGAGCCAGGTAGGGATGCTCTCCGTCCTCACTGTCCACTTGAAAACTGGAAGGAAACGTTGCCAGGGCTGTGTCTGCTGGGCAGTCTGTTGCCATGGAGCCGAACACAGCTGCCTGTCATCCCAGGGCTACCATGTTATAAACACCCCCTTTCGAACTCCCAGGGGTCTGATTACAGACATGCCATTGTTTGTCATGATGTCCCGGGTTTCCCAATTTGACTTGGCTAAAGGAAAGAAGAGAAATGAACATACAGAGAGAAGGCCCTAGGGTGCAGAGAGAGCAGCTCTGGTCCATCGGGTGTCTGAGGTGGAGGAGTCGGGAGGAGCAGATCATTAGGTAGACCTAATTCATTAGGGGGTGGCGGGAGTGGTGAAGATGGGGTGGAAATGAGCCACGGCAGTTCAGGAAGCTCCTCTGCAGAGGCTCCAAGCCAGGACTGCCTGTGCATCCATTCAGGTGAATGGACATCGCTGCTGTAATGACAGTAGATGATAATGAAACTTAATATCCAAATCTAATAATAAAACAACTTTGTATGTAAGCATTTCAATCTCCTTTAATCAAAGCAGTGACATGCCCATGAAATCCTTCACTCAGATGAATTCAGCTTCCTCTGGCTCCTGGGTCTGTTGTGTGCCAGATTGTTCTGTGGCCAGCGTTGGGAGATGGGGCAGCAGTGTGAGCAGAAGAAAGGCAACATGCTTGGCAGGTAACAGGGCACAGGAGTGTGTCAGGAAAGCTGTGTCTCGTTCCCAGGTGCAGCTAGGGCTAGAGAGGGACAGGGGAGACAGCAGCAAACCTCAAGTATGCGTTCCTCCTACCCTTTGGTCTTTTCCCCATGTGACAAATACAGATGTATTTTTTACTGTTTGGACTTTAATGTGTGAGTGAGAAATTTGTGAACGTTTCATTTTTTGGTCAGTATGTGCATCGTGTTTTTATGGATTGTTTTAGATAAGTCCTGATTAAATCCTTAGTAGGGAGAACCTTGTAACCAATGGGAAAGTTTGGGGATTTCTCTGGAACCAGTTTTTGTTAAGGCAGTTTAGCCCAAGCCATTAACCCACTGGCATCTCATATTGGAATGCCTGGATGCTGTCCCCAGCTGTGGCTCCCAAGCTGTTTCCTTTAGGTGAGGAGGAACATTTTTAAGCATTTGAGGATTATTTTCTTCTGTAGCGCACAGTAGGGAGGAAGATAAGCTTGAAAAGCCATAGGACCTGGGCTCAAACGATGGCCTGCCTCTCTGCGCTCACCTCATTTTGGTCTTCAGAAGATTAAATGCATATAAATGACTTAGAATTCTCTGGAATAGAAGGTACTCAGGAAATGCTTACTACTGGGAGTAACAGTATTTACCTCATGAAGAGAATAAAAAATAGACCAGTTCAAGTTTTCTATGACTTTATTAAAATAAGGGGATCTGCTTGATAGAACCACATTTTTTTCATTTCAGCTTTGGGCTTAAGGATTTAGGGTAGTAATATTTTCCTGACTGAAAGCCTCACTCAAAAGTGAGATCATTTCACATTTTCCAGGGACTTTTTTGCACAAATTCACAAAGAATAAAAGAGTAGACAGGAATTGGAAATGCCTAGGCCCTCAGTGCGCGTTGGAGAAGGGAGCCTACGGCCTTGAAGAGTACAGGGCGGGATCGTGGGGACGTGAGGGCGAGCATGGCCACACATGGCTTTCTGTGTGCAGGGCCTGGCATCCCGGAAGTGGGAGACCAACAGGTGTACAGACGGAGACGGGACAAAAGAGGCAAGAGAAACCAGGGGCATGGGACCAGGGGCCAAAATGTTTGACCATGACCTCCAAAATACTTGGAACCTGGCGGAAATGAACCCCTAGAGCAAAAAAAAAAAAAAAAAAAAAAATCATAGATTTGTTCCAGGGGCGTTGAAGACAACAAAATGAAAGCATAGCTGTGGCCTCACCCCAGCTCCTTCCCCACTCTCAACACTCAGCAAATAGCTGGTTCTAGTCAAGAATGAAGTGTAATTTTTTTTTTTAAGAAAAAGGAGCTAGCAGAAGATCTTTGCTAAATTAAAGGAGAAAGAAAGAAAGAATGTAGCAGAAAACAAAGAGCACATAGCAAATGGAAAATCATCTAAGAAGCGGAGAAATTCAAATAACAGTTCTCTGTAACTAACGGTTTTTGATAGTGTCAAAACATTTGCAAAATATATCAACATATTTTTCTTTCAAGGAAAATGGTAGGAAGGATGGAGGAGGAGGAGAAAATATGTTTTAAAATAATAATTCAGGGCCTGGTGCAGTAGCCTAGTGGCTGAAGTCCTTGCCTTGCATGCACCGGGATCTCATATGGGCACTGGTTCATGTCCTGGCTGCTCCACTTCCCATGCAGCTCCCTGATTGTGGCCTGGGAAAGCAGTCGAGGATGACCCAAAGCCTTGGGACCCTTCATTTGCGTGGGAGACCTGAAAGAGGCTCCTGACTCCTGGCTTTGGATCAGCTCAGCTCTGGCCATTGCAGCCTCGTGGGGAGTGAACCAGCAATGGAAGATCTTTCTCTCTGTTTCTCCTCCTCTCTGTAAAATTTGACTTTCCAACAGAAATAAACGAATCTTTTAAAAATTAAAATTTAACAGAGAGATGAAAAGTTCTCAAAGCCAAGGGGAAGAGTGGTAGACAAAAATCAGAAGATTAAAACCATATTACAGAAAATAAACAAAAAAGGGTGTAACTGAACAATTCCGAGGAATTGTGACACACCTGAGAGAATCATATTAAATGAAAAATAGGAAGTAGCTATAAAATAAGAAGAAAGCAAAAGTCCTAATAAAGAAAATTGTAATTGTGGGATATTGTCTAAGGTCCAGCACACATAAAATCCATCTTTCTAACTTTGTGTGTGTGTGTATGCATAAACTAACAGAGGAATATTTTTTCCAATAATTGTATTTAAAGGTAGAAATGTGGTGTGCACAGTGTCTCATGAAATTTCATATGGAATAATTGATACCAAACATTTCCCATCAAAGTTATTGATACAAGAGAAAATAAAATCATACAGGCATCCCAGCAGAGAAATAAAGTCATATTCAGCCTTACCAAAGACTTCCCTATAGTAATATGCAATGCCAGAAAATATTATAATTTCTCAAATTCTGAGAGGAAGAAAATAGGATTGAAGCATTTTTGTACTCAGCCAAGTTGTCTCTCCTATAGAGAGAGAACACTTTTTCTTCAGATTTATTGGAAAGGCAGATTTACAGAGAGAAAGATCTTCTGTCCAATGATTCACTCCCCAAATGGCCTCAGCTACCAGAGCTAACCAAAGCCAGGAACCATTAGCCTCTTCCAGCTCTCCGATGTGGGTGCAGGATCCCAAGGCTTTGGGACATTCTCTATTGCTTTCCCAGGCCACAGCAGGGAGCTGGACAGAAGTGAAGCATCGCATGGGATCCCGACGCTTGAAGGTAGATGATTAGCCTGTTGAGCCCCAGCACCAGCCCCTGAACTGACATTCTTAATGGACAAGAATGCAAGAAATAGGCGAAAGCACAGAAATGCTTTTTACGTGACCACAAGCTCAAAATTTCAGAGTTGGGAGTGGATGTTGTGGTGATAAATTATGTGGTACACTCCTGTTCCTATTTCATATTCAGTTAAATCACATATAGCATGTGAAACATAAATTATTTTTGTTGTTGTTGATTAATTTGAGAGGTAGAGAGGGACAGAGCTATTGTTTTGTGGGTCACTCCCCAAATGCCTGCACCAGCCAGGATTTAAGCTAGGTCAAAGTTAGCTGCCTGGAATTCAATTCAGGTCTCCCATGTAGGTGGTAGACACCCAAATACTTGAGCTATCACCTGCGGTCCTCCAGGGTACACATTTAGTACAATACTAGAATCAGGAATAGAACTGACCCTAAAGTCCAGGTACTCTGATATGGACTCAGGCATCCGAAAAAGCATCTTAAGCATTGTATCAAATGCCTAGTCCCAAAGTAATTACTGCAGGAGACAGAGAAACGTAAATATATAGCCAGAGAAAGACGCCGGCGTGTGCCCTGATTGACATCACGTGGATGCACGTCTTTGCCCTATTCAGACATTTTCTTCCAGAGGCTTCTCTTCCACCACCCTCCCTGACCCCTTTAGCTTTTAGAAGTGACAGACGAGCCACCAGCCTTTCCTTGACCAGCCTAGTGGCCATCAACCCGTTGATCACTGATTGTGACCTAGAAGCAGAGTCCAGCCCAGGGACCGGGGAAATTGTCTGTGACCAAGGATCTCAGTCTGTCAACCTGTGTTGAAGAGGCTCAAAGAGCTAGTTTAGGGGGCGAGGTGGGGAGAATGTTTTAACCAAAGCAGAAGCTTGCTCTGAGTGGCCCTCTAGTCACGATTTGAAGCCTCTGGTGTCTCCAACCCGAGCCGGGGAAGGTGGCAGGGCTGGCGAATGGAGAGGACCCTGGGGCAGGTACTTGGATGATAGGTTGCTGCCAGTTGCGTGAACAAGGACATTAAAGGCATGGACTGTACTTGCAGGGGTCAGGCTGCGTGACCCCTCATTTTTGCAGCTCGTTTCTCTGATTGCCTCTTTACTGTCTTGTTTCTGACCAGATGTTACAAACTCATCTGTGTGAGGAACAGGTGCTTTGTCTGGGTTTCTTAAATTCAGAACAGTCAATTCTGTGGTGAAAAAATGTTTTATTTTTCATTTTAGATAACTTACATCCGACAAGAATATGAAACAAAATTCAAAGGGTTGATGCCAGCATCCCTAAGACAAGAACTTGAAGATACCATTTCCTCCCTAAAATCACAGGTAAATGCTAGAATCAGGACATTTCCCGGGGATTTAAAAGAAGTGCATCTTATAAAAAGAAAAGTTCAAATAAATTTCGTTCTGGATTGATATAAGTCAGTGTGATACCGTAGTATAATGTACTCTTCAAGATTGTTTTTGGTTCTTACCTTGTTTTATCTTTTTTTTTTTTTTACAAATTCAGAAACTCAATAAGATGTTTTGAAAACACCCTTAAAATAGACAAGTTTAGGGATGGTGACTTTTATTCGCTTAGTCCACTTTGCAGTCCAACTTCACCCTTCACCTGGCCCTGGGTCCACAATGCCATCACCTCATGATGATTCCTAGCTGGGTCAAAGTACAAAGAAATCTAAAGCACAGTCAAGTTAGAAGCTTTTATAAAAAGAGCAGATTATTTGAAAGGCAGAACTAAGAAGAGCTAGGACATAAAAGTAAGTCAAAGAGGATAAAGGGTTAAGTAATGTTTGTTTACAAGGGAAAGTTCTCCTGGAGGTGCAGTTTGCCCATCACGTTTGGGGCCCAGCTCTGTGGGAGCTGACACCCTCGTAGGAGTTTTTGTTTTTATTTGGGGTGGGGGGTGGAGCAGGGTGGAAAGCAGAGGAGAAAGCCGATACCCACCTGCAGCACTTCTGTTATCATTCATCTCCTTTCACTGTAATAAAAGCTACTGCAGCCTCCTCCAACTGGATGTTGATCCCAAAAGAGAGTGCTGCCAGCTGCATGAGGGCCTCAGAGTTGGCAGCTGTGTGGAGGAGTCCCAGGCCAGAGAGGGCGCAAATTTAGTTTGAAGGCACAGGTGCTTGTGTTTTGTGAAAATTGTTGGGATTCCAGTTGCAAAGCAGGGTGGGGGAGGGAAGTGTGGAATCAGTGCAAGCCTGCATCTGTCAAAGTTATCAATTGTCCCAAGGGTCGTTTGAGCCATTGGACAAAAGTAAGACCTGGATGATATTAGCAATGGGTGAAACCCAGGGAATCACTTTGATAGGGTAACCATTTAGAAAGACGGTGCTTTGCTGTCTGTTCAACACATTTTCTGGACTGCCAGCTCTTCTCTCTTGTATAACTGTTTCAGAACCAACAGTCATCATGGTTTCAGTTCAGACCAAGAAGGCAAGAGTAAGCAATTCCAAACAGATCAATTGCCAGACTCTCAGTCACATTCAGCCATTCCTATAAAGTTAACTCCAACCCATTTTTATTTGACCGTGTAAAGTACATTCAAACGTATGCCTGATACAGTTCTCTTTAGTAGTGTAAGAGCTTACACTGCGCAACAATCAAATGCATTGATCTAGATTCCTACTTAAGGAAATATGCGAAGCATCCCAGTTTCTTCTACCCTCTATCCTCGCTCCCCCAAGAATACAGGTATGAATCGGGACATAGCTATGAACTGTGAGCTCTGTTCTGGGCAGAGTCTGTTACTCATTTCACACCATCCTCCTAGCCTGTAATTATCATTAACCCCATTTCACAGATGAGGCATCAAGAGCTGAAATAGCTTTCCTGGAGCCAAAGAGGCCAAGCTAGGGATTGAACCAAGCTGGCCTTTTTCTAGGCAAATCAAAGGCTCTTTCCATCAAGACATGTTGTGTCTGCAACCTCAGGGAATCCCCAGGATGGACCGAGGTTTCCAGGGAACAGTCAGCTTCTTTCCTCTCATTCAGTAAACAGCCAGGGAATGCTTGCTGTGTGATCAAGTCTGTAAAACAAACCAGGGGTGCTGAGGTTTATAAAAAATGTCATTCCTGTCCCCAAAATGCCCTTCAGATGTACAGGAGAGAGAAGCACCCAAATGAGCCCACAGTACTGTGAGAAGGGCCAGCCACAGAGCACAGGAATACAAAAGAGGGACTCACTGCTGTGGCTTAGAGTAGTAAGTGTAAGATTTTGGGGGAACTGGAAGTTTAGAATGGTGACATTGAACCAGGATGAAAATGCCGGTGAAAGTCATGACACAGGAGAGTATTTCAAAACATACATGGAAGAGTAGAACTAAAAGTTTATGTGCAAAAAACACCACCTTGAAATCCATGCATGCAAAAGGACTATTCACAGCAAATACAGTCTAAGAAACAGCATGAATTTCAATTTTTGTGCCACATTAAGCTGATTTTTAAAATTCTATTCTTCCAAAAAAGATATATATTTTTTTAAGGATCCATGTGTAATGTAAGGCAGGCACAATGGGAAGGGAGTGAGGCAAGATGATGCCGCTGAATTAGCATGGCCACTGCAAAATGACTCTGTAATAGGGAGCTGGAACCAGGTTCTGTAGTCCCTGCTGGATTTTTAGGAGGGAAGGGATGTAACCAGCTATAAAGAACATGGCACTGCTGTTCAACAGAGCCTCTGAGAGCTCTTTAGGAAATCATCTGGATTTAAACAAAATCCAACCACGTCCTCTGTGCCACCCTGACTTGTAAGCCACCTGCCCCTGTCCTCATGTAAGGTGTCTTTTCCAGGTTAACTTTCTGCAGAAGAGAGCATCCATCCTCCAAGAAGAGCTGACAACATACCAAGGCAGAAGGTACAGCAGCCCAGTGCCCTCCCTTGCATTCCTAATGTTTGCACCTAGGAGTCTCCGGGTTTGACATCCAAATCTTTCTGTAAGATTTATTTTTATTGGAAAGTCAGATATACAGAGGGGAGGAGAGACAGAGAGGAAGATCTTCCATCTGCTGATTCACTCCCCAGGTGCCCACAACAACCAGAGCAAGCCAGGAGCTTCTTCTGGGTCTCCCACACAGGTGCAAGGTCCCAAGGCTTTAGGCCATCCTCCACTGCTTTCCTAGGACACAAGCAGGGAGCTGGATGGGAAGTGGGGCTGCTAGGACATGAACTGGTGCCCCAAGTCTTAGCCAGAACCATCAGGACAAGATGCAAGAGCATGAAGGTGCTGGCAAGCTTAGGCCTCACCAGGGTAATCCCAGCAGAACATGGCCCAGAGGCCGTGACGCCTGACCAAGGATGCCCTGTCTGTCTTGGAGACACCAAGATGGCTTGGGTTCTTGCTATGTTAGCTCACATCTTCAAAGTGCCCTCCTCCCGGGGCGTTTGGTTCTGTGGCCAGAAGAGATCAACTGCTCAGTGTGTCGCAGTGCCCCCAGGGTGCTTTGCACAAGACCATTTTAGTCGAAAGTTCCCTGTGACATCACTGACATGGGCTGTGCTCACCTGCTCCAGTTCAATCACACTTCCTTGTAGTTCACTGCAGGACTGAGTCACTTCTTTGGCATAACATGAAAAGGAAAAAGTTTGTGAATCATTCACTTTTCAAACGATTCTGTTTGCTTGGTATAGATAAGATTTAATCCATTATAGGCATAGCTAATGAAATTTTGATAGCAAATATCTTTTTAACCCTTCTCTAGCTTTTTCATAATGGGAATGCATTTAAGAGCTGACAGATGTGTTAAACCTAGGGTAACACCCTAACTGGGGTCCCTGCTTTTCAGGTAACTACCCAAGAGAATGTGCTGGATGGAGTTATGCGGGCAGCACTGTGGACTCCTGCCAGCAGGTTTGAAGATTTGGATATTGTAAACTGTGAGATCAGTGGCATTTTTTAATACTGAATGTAATTAAGGTCATAAAAACATACATCATTCACACATTAATGGGTTGGTTTTATTTGTGTCTACCTAAATTAATTTTTAAACATTCCTTTATTTGATTTCCATACTTGTGTACATTCAAGTGTATGCCGAGAAGTTGAAATGCTTTCTCATGTTATCCCTTAGTGATACTTGGCATAGAGTCTTACCAGTTGCGTATGGTCAGAATCACGTTTGTAGTATCATATCCAAAATTTTTAAACCTTGTTTATTTACATTGTTCTTATGTTCATGTTCATATATCATTAAAATATTATTTTGTATTTATCAGTTTTATTTCTACTTTTTATCACACCTCATTTTGCTAAAGTTGTGGTGGTATTCCCTTTTCCCTAGCAAATCCTGGAAATGTTCAATGTATTCTGGGGGGAAATAGTAATGTCAAATTCAGTGTATGTAATTGGTGCTTGGAATGCCGTCGCTGGCTCACTGGCTGCCCGTGCACGTACTGTTCTCTTGGTTTCCAATCTGATTGGGATGCTCCCGCAGCAGCCCTGGTGGAGCTGTTTGGTGTAGTAGGTGTGGTTTTACTGTTACCTTCTTGAGGTCTCTTGTTATGGTGGTATTTTAACAGCAGTGTCGGTCAACAAGTTTTAAGGAAACCTAAAACTGGAGCGTCGTGATGTAAGGACACGGACATGCTTTAACTGACCCTGCTGTCAAGTGGCCACCTTGTCGCTGGGTGGCTGGCATTGCTCCAGTGGAGGGATGTCTGGGTCTGGGTTTCTCTTCCCCACCGAATGCCCATGGGGGCAGGTCTTTATTGGTGGGTCAGCCCTGTTGCGCCTGCAGAATTTCGGGGAGTGGATGATTTGGCTCCTTTGGATGGTATTGTGGTATGTGCCACAGGCCTCTAAAACTCTGGTCCATGGGCAGGCCTCTAATCAGCTGGTTTACTGTAAGATGAAAGTTGGTTTATACTTTTTCAAGATCTTTTTCTCTTTCCCACGCCCAGGGCTGTTGTTTGCTGCCTGAGGATTAATTGCGTTTTTCTGTATCGTAACTGAGACCTGGAGATAAGGAAGTAGGTTGGACGGCCATTTCCCAGTGCCAGGGTGAGGACCAGCCCAACTAAGCGGGGCAGCCGCCACTGGGAGGAGGTCTGGCTTTCATGTCCCAAATGGTGTCGTGGGGCCATTGTGCCTCTGGAAACCCTCAGCTCACCATGACACCCCCTCCAGGAGTAAATCTCTGTCCTTTGAAAGATAAGACTTTTCCTGCAATATGCAGCGCATTGCAGCTCTACTTCCTAGAGTATTCAGTAAAAAAACAGACAGCAACAAATGAGGACAGTTGGTACTTAGAGATGCTTTAGTACTTGGAAGGAAAAGATTACGGCTCCATGATTAATGTGAAGTACCTTTGTACAGACCGTGAAAAACAGGTTAAAGCCCGGCAGATTTCATTAGTAAGGTTATTAGTGGCTTCAAGTGCGCACATGTCGCAAATGGTATTGTATGCTGGAATTGGAACGCCCACTCAAGTATTTGTTTTCCATGAGTAAACAGCAGTAGGTGTTTTGGAAAGTTGCCTGCTATCCTTCTTCCCCTTACTTTAAGGGTTATGAAATTACAATCACTGGTGAACCTTTGACGCTGCCCACATCCTGTTCCGCATCTGAATCGTGCCATGTATGTTTGGGAGTAAGTGCAATGAAACTTTCATTCAGTTCCACTGGATGTGGTGGGAACGCGTGGCTGACAATTGGGTTTCTGTGCACGTTCTCTGGATAAAGGAAGAGAAAGGAGAATTGCATTTGGTGTGTTAAAAGTTCCTAACTGAACTGAGCCCTGAGTGTGTAAATGGCTACCGAGAGAGAAAGCAAGGGCTCAGGAAATAAATTATAAACACTGTGCCTTATTATAAAATCATCTAAGATTCCATACTTCCTTTTATCTGGTGAAAGATCAATTGTTCATCACACGTAACTCATTTAGTTACCCTTCAGTTATCACGAGCCACTGTGCCTGAGCAGTCCTCCTATGTCAGCATGCAGCTGTCAGCAGGTAGTGGCTGGGAAAGCATCTGGAAGTCGCCAGACAGGACAGCCGTGGGATCGCAGTGCTCCTGAAGTGAGTTTGCTAGAGTCAAGGAAGAGGAGGGTGACTGCTGGGTCATCCTCCCTTGTCCTTAACTGATTTCAGTCCATTGTTTCTGCGTCAGCAGCAGTGAGCACTTCTGGGGTCTGGGCTCTGTATTTGCAACCTCTTCAATTAACCGTGAACTCCACCGAAGGCAACCATCAAGGGCCAAAATGGAAGCAAGAGAAAGATGGAGACAAAGGGAAGAAAGAACAGATGGATCTGTGTCATAGATGATACAAAAGACCTGGCTGTGGCTCGCAGGAGATGGTTCGGAGTCCAACCTTACCCCTCTGAGGTCCCGTATGAACAGTCATTTCTTCAGGAACGGGCTTGTGCTTCCCGTGGTGAGCAACCTCATGCAAGGAATCTGCTGAGAAAGTGCAGAGTGAAGAAACTGTGAGCCTGAATTAACAATTAACAGCTCTCTCTTATTGAAGTGCATCACCGCTCATAAAAGGCAGTGGTGTTTTAGCTTTCTTTCCAAGAGTAAAAAGGAAAGGTAAAACATCAAAAATGTTGGGAGAAAAGTTTCAGAACACAAGGTCATTTTAATTCATAGTTTCCTTAAAAGAACTATTTCTTCTGAGCTTTCATATTTTGTTCAGAAAGGTCGTCTCTTTTAAGCCTTGTCATTAAAGACAGTTTGCTCTTTAAAGTGAATTATCAAAGGGTATAGAAATTGCAAGTTACTGAAACTAAAATGCATGATCAATTTTAAGTCTGCTAACTAAAGCTTACTTAAAATTGGATGTGCTTTTGTCCTGGCAGCCTCTTTGATAAAACCAGAAAAAGATACATGGTTGGTCAATTCAAAGTAGGGAAAAGAGATAATTAGATGAAGCTTTTTTTCAACTATTGAAGTGGTTCTTAGCTTTCGAGACTTGATTAGGAAGCTGTGGCATGGGCCATAGTGGTATTTGAAAAGTAAAAATTGGAATACCCCAGATTTTGACCTGGTTGGTATTAACATTGTTTTAAAAATGGAATTAAACTTCACATTATACTTCACTCCATACATGGAGGAAGAGAAATGGAAGTTGATGCATAGACTGAGGGAACATTAAAATCTAGATCCCTCGTAAATATCTAGTTCATTTGAAAATTTGGTCCTCAGCAAGATTTCCATAGCGCGACTATTTTTAAACCAAAGACCCAAAATGTTGCTGTGGCATCTGCTATTCGGGGATGCTTAGCCTTAAGGCTAATAAATGTTCTTACGTCTTCCTTAAGAGTCTAACCACTTTAGAGAGGTCTCATGGAGAATGGCTGGTTGGACAAAGGATTTCATCACAGAACAGAGAGGGGCACCTGCTGAGAAGCCTATAGATTCAATTAGCTAAAACTATAGTTAGCTGAATGGGGAATCATCTTGGCCCTCTCCCTTTAGTTTAGCCAAGACAGGAAATGAGCTTGTAGGTGAATCTACCAGTTAGTTTTGTTTGCTTAGGCAATTCTCTTTCCCCTGTCTCCATCTCCCTTTTCTAATATGTGATGTGAAGAGCTGAGGCTAAACCTACTTTTCCCAAACCGTGCCACTTCAGTCCCATCTTTGAGTATTTCTCTTACCTTGCCCTATCAAGCCCTGCTCCTGCGTTGCTTCAAAAGACTAGGGGACTTCACAAAGCTTTGTGGGAAATGTAATTTAAAAATAAGCTTATTTTGGTGCACACGTTTTTTGAACTCCACGCGTACACGTATTCAGGTGACCTATTTAGGAAATGTGACATGCTATTCTCTATGTTCCCAGTTACATCACTCACTCAAGCATTCGTTTAATGAACAATACTGATTGTCAATTGCATGCTAACAGTACTTTTACTTCTCTAAAAGTTAAGTAATTATAAAGCAATAACTTAGGATTGTGTCTCTTGGTGCCAAGGGTTGACTGGGCTCAGGGAAGCTTTTCATAATTGGGTTACTTGCAGGTTCAGTCAGATGTTGGCTACGATGCCAGTCATGGCAGACAAATGCCCACAGCACACAATGATCTACTCACTGATGTGCAACTAACTGTTGTTGCCTGTTAGGTGGCGCATGGGTCCCCAAGAGCAACCCCGGCAACACAGCACACACGGAAAGCATGAACTCCATAAGGCTCAGGCCCTGAGAACTGGCACAGTTGTCACCCTGGTATTCTGTCGGTGAGAGCCCACCCAGAGTCAAGGGTAGACATAGACCCAGCACCATCAAAGCATCCAAGGCCATCTTTACTCTGCCTTACCCTCTGGGAAAGAGACCTGCTTAACTCCCTTTAATCTGCAGCTTCCTGAAATGAGGTGATCCATGAAGCAGTTTTGAACTTTTTCTATGGCTCACATCTTTTATTATAGAGCTGTGTGAAATGCTGATTAAAGAAGCCCAAACCTAAGTGAGTTCTGCTAAATTCCTTCCTGTTCCAAAGCTCTGTTCATTCTTACTGTGTTTCTACAATCACAGGTTAGACTGGGAATTCAGAAACACTTTTTGGATGGCCCAAGTTGGGAATACTTGTGTTTATTATGACTCTTCCAAGAGATGGGAGCAACCATAGTGGAATTTTTTTTCCATCTCTTCTGTGTTTAGGGCTTGGTATGCACTGTTTATTGTAATTATCTTACCAAATGTATGATTATAAAGGTCCACCAAAACCCATACCCAGGGCTTGGGATGGTTTTTCCCTCTTTCGTAGAACTACCAGGCACATGGAAGGATGTGGACTTGATGAGCCCGGGAGGGGAAATTTCCTGAACCACAGAACACTTATAAACTACCCAGCTAAGTAGAGCAGAATCATCTAGATAAACAAATGAATCAGCCTCCTAATTGCCTTCTCCCATTGCAGAAAGTTCTCTCTGTTTAGGCCACTCAGTCCATCTCCCAGTCTTAACTCTTCCTCTCCCCTGGAGGCTGGGACAAAATGAAGCAATGCAAA